TGGCCCACGTCAATCCCGCGCGTTCGGCACCAGCTCATCGGGTCGCCCAACTCCTACTCTACTCACCTCTTACTTCGCTCGTGTGCCGCCCCTTCCAGATCGCGCAACCCCGAGCTTCCAACAACGGGTTAAGAGAGCCGACTAATCGCGCAGCCGAATTTTATAGCATTCATGCATGCGCGAAGAACATGGAATTTTCCAGACTTAGAGTGAAGATTAGATGGGGAGCGCCTGCGTTCTGCATGATCGGGCGCGGCGTGGGGGACGTAACCCTTCTCCACGCATCGATCCGAGAATGCAAGACACGACTTACAAAATCTCAGCAAAGGAAGGAGAAAGGAGGGCAGGAGAGACGAAGTGTAAGAAGAGAGATACAGTTACAAGGGCGTCTTCCAAAATTACAGTTACTCATACGATTAAGGGCGCCCATTAATCAGAGTACCGTCACAGCCGCCTGAAGAAGCGCGTAGACAAAAGGCGCGGCGCGGCAGAAAAAGTCCTAATTACTGAATTCCTAAACTCCTATCTAATGCAGAAAAGCAAAAAAGCATTCATTTCAGAGAGAAGGTCGAAAATTCCGAGAGCCATCGGGGCTTGACAAAATTGGAAAAAGATTCAAAAGAAAATTCAAAAGAACAAAGCAATTTCTCGCGCGATGTTCGCGCCCCAAAGATCGAACCCGAAATGAAAGAAGCGACGTCGCATTTATTAATCGCGCGCGCGGTGGTGGGCCAGACATCCCTCCGACCAATCTCCCAACTGGCCGTCCAAGGACGCACCCAACCACGAAGAAGCGACGAAAAAGACGAAGAAGCGAGGGTACTGATGCAAATTTCCACCGATCCCGATTTTTCGTAATTGGCCCAATCTTCCCAGCTTCGGACCCCTTGTTGCAACCGCGCAGAAAATCGTGTGTTACAGAAAGTGGTTCGTCACAGGTTAACCAACGACATCCTCCACCAGAGCCTATCCCACCTACCAATGAGACCCCTCAGACATCCCCTACTGCAGGTTCCCTGTCGATATCCTCCGACATAGTCTTGTCCTACCTACCCTTCCCCCAGCGGAGTCCCTGATTGAATCCCACCCGTAACCTATGCCCCCCCAAAGCAGATCCCTAAGGTAACCAATTCCACATGACCCAATGCTACCACTACCCTGACTGCATGGCCACAAATTTTTGAAATTTCTTCAACTTTCTTGGTTGATCAAGTAGTGGGCCCGGTTCCCAGCACGTGCTGCTCCCCACAAATAGATTGGAGCAAGTCCCCCC